TACAAACATTTGACATATTAAATATCATTCAGTATCTATTTCAATGCTCAGCAGCTTTTTCCACATAGTCTAGCGCTCTTTTCACATAATTAAATATTCTCTAATCCAACCTGTTACATTTTTTAATTAGAGTAATGAAATTAACATCTAACTTGTACTCAGTCAACAGCAAAAAGGCAGAGGCTCGCAAAATGGGGGGAGAACCTGCACCAGCACCACTGACAGATGAAGAGGAGATGGTCAAATATTGGAAGAATTTTAAAATCCAAAAGGAAAAAGAATAACTGTTGCTTTTGTATTTGTAGGAACATTTTACAACACTGATCTGCAGTCCTGTGAAACTCCTCTTTGAAGGATGTGCTCAGGAAACAACACAAAAATTCTCAGAAAGAGCTTGAGAGTGACGCACACTTTCCTTACCACTCTGCATACAGCAGACTTACTAATGTGCTCTGCATCCCTGATGTTGTATAGAAAACTACCAAACTACCGCTCAAATAAATATGAATCTGAATATGGCAAAAAAAAAAAAAACTCCCTACAAATTAGTGCAGCCTCCTCATCTACAGGATCCTGTATAAAAAGAGTTGCCATTTTTGTCACTTTGACCATGTCTGCATGATGACAATATGCGCAATGAATGAATAACCTGCACTGTAAAAAATGCTTAGAATTTTTGTCTTCTTTCCAGTCAAAATATCTCAAGATTCTTAAATCAAGATGCATACGAAAAATGACATAACACTGATTCTTGAGACATGGGACAAAACATGTCCAGCAATTGTAAGTGCTATTAGACATACTGTTCTGAGATGAGAGAAAATAGATCATTTGTGTTCAAATGATATATCAAAATACTTAAATGGGAATCTTGAAACAATAACATACTCACTGTTTGTTGTGTTTGTTTTAATACAATAATTGATTGATTGATTAATTGATTGATTGATTGATTGATTCAATGTATTTGATAGTTAAAATGACAAATTCAGGATTTTGTTACCACCTTCAGATGTGTCAGCTCCGTCAGGTCTGTCACTTCCGTCAGATGAATATTTTTTATAATATTTATGATATTTTATATTTGTTGTGGAATTGTTGGTAACATGTAAAAGTGTAATCTGTCTGATAATGAGAATGTGTTTTGAAATGTTAAAAACATCTTGATTGTTGTTAAAGATAAAGTTAAAATTATATTACACAGTCCAAGGTAAAAAGCACATTTTGATAAAAAAGAGAAAAGTTGGTAGTTTGCATCAAAGCATAGCTCAGTAACTTAGTACATATAAGATGCATAAATATAGTTTCATTTGTCTAAGTACAAGGTTTTATTTATTTTTTTATTATTATAATTTTTATTTTTTTCAATTTTGCACCCTGTTTTATCCCACTTCTCAAGAATCAGTGATACGATATATAGTCTTGTTTACATGGGAGGAATAAAAAACTAATTTAAGTGCATTTCTCTTATTTTGCAAATTACCTGCCAGTGGGGTAAGCCATTAAAAATAAACTTGTTTCCATTTGCATTAAGATTTTTTTTTTTTACCCTATGGCATACAATTTTATGTTTTACATAAAATACACTTAAAATGCACTTAATTGCACTTGTTTTCCCCAGGACCAACCCCAGGAAACAAGACTAAATATCTTACATAATTTTTCATATATATAAAATGCATATTGACTTAAGAATTTCTAGATACTTGTACATGAAATAAGACAAAAATACTCAGCATTTCTGCAGCATGAATGAATGAGGTATTTAAACATTTAAACAACATTAAACTGTGGGAGGAGACCGAAAGAAGCTCTGGGTTTACTGAAGAAAGCCTGCTCCCGACCTGGGGTGCGTTTCCCAAAAGCATCGTTCCCTTTCAAGGGAACTTCGAACTGCGTCCTCTAGGGGTCGCTATGGGGGAACGCCTCGTCGTGACCCGTGTCTGAAGCATACATTGAAAAAACACCAACAACACGTTGGCCGGCGACAGCCCATGACATCACTACCGGTGCGATTATAGTATAAAATGTGCATAAATGCCTAAGGGAACCCCGGCATATGACGTAAGAGGACAGGGAATGACAGGGAACAAAACATAGTAAATTAGTCATCAGGTGCCATGTTCAATACAGCAGCATCTCCAAAATCTCGAATCAATTAATTAGCAGAAGTTATTACTCCACCACATGCATGTGACGTCATTAAAAACGGCCCTAAATTGTTGAACTAATGTGGTTCAAACGACGGATATGCGACCATGGCTGCATCCGAAAACTTAGGCAGCTGACTTGCTGCCTCGCTGCCATATGAGGCAATGACTTTGCAGGCAGCGATTTTGCACGAAGGCACCTCATGAAACTGAGTTTTGGTGATAACTAAACGAATACTTAATTACTATTATAGGGTAAACGTACCTATTAAGCTCACGTACCCATTAAGCACACTACCATTTTTGAGCTCAGATTATAAAAAGAAAAAAAAGTATGTATTATCCTACTTGATGTCTTAACCAATTGATGTGTTTGTTACTACATACCTCCTGTAACTTCAAGTCAATCAGATCATTGCACACGGAGATATGGGTCTCCATGTGTTCACACTTTCTGGTGGCCATTTTAAAAGCTGTCTAAAATCTTTCACTAAAAGAGGAATCCCTTAAATGTGCATTTTTTAGATGTTTAAGCATTTATTTTGCATAAGATTCACTGCTTACTATACAATTAAGAGATTAATGTTTAGACGTTTGCATATTATAACCTGGAACTTGGATATGGGAAATATTTACAGTTAGATCCAAAAGATAGTATTAGCAACATAGTGCAGATGCTACAGAACACAGTTAGCTGACTGGCTGTATAAAATTGTGTGCTATGCTAATATATTACTTCAGAGGCATTACTGGCTTGTACTTTTAAATCCATAATATTATAAATTTACACTTTATTGCTGGTCTGTGGTTTTATACTGCTGTAATTTTTAAAGATTTTATATTATTGTAAGGTGAGCTTAAAGGGTGCACTACAGTAGCTACTATGAAAATCACACAGCTTCAGTGACATCAATAAGAAAAAGTATAATTTCATAGATATTGTTAATAATAGTTGTTCATATTAAAATATGTATAAACTTAATACATGATCTAGATTATTTATTTTGCAAAATCTTGTCATTTTAACAAATATTACATGATTTTTTTTGTTTTAATTGTTGCTGCTCCCATTAAGCTCAGTGTGCTCTCTTTAAGCTCTTCCACATTGAACGTCTATGTAAATACTTCATAAACAGACTTTAAATATAAACTGATGGTTGTCACTTTAAATTAATCTTTATAAAATTATAAATAACTTATTTTAACAGCTTTAAGATAACAAAATCTAGGTGTAACTATAGTTTATGCCCAAAGATGAAAGAGGCATGTCATTCATACAAAGAAGGAACCAACAGAAACCTGTCGTATCTGTCCAGGTAAAAAAGCGACTAAAGGCTGGAATAAACTCCACGACTTTTAAAATTTGAACAGATTTTTAAAACACCAGGCATCGTACACTTACCGACTTTAGATAGATTTTGCAATGTGCTTAAATGACACTTCACTATGAATATATAACTGATCAAATTGAGTGCCTTGTTGCTTGATTTTAGTGTTCCATTTTTTTTTTTTTTTTTTGTGATTGACTTTGTACCTTCGAATAAAACATTTTTCAATTATTCTTTAAAAATTTTCCTTAAAATAAAAACATTTTTTTAATAAAACAGGATGTGAGCTTAATGGGAACAGGGGTGTGCTTAAAGGGCACAAAAAATTGAATTTTTGCCAGATTTTTTGCATTTAATGATGTATATATTAATTGAAATGCTTTTGTCATTGAAAATAAAATTCAATATTATTGTGTGAGAGATTAATATTTTATTTTAACATAACTTGTACTGAAACCAATAACTTGTGCACTAAAAATGTCTCAATGTAGATTTTGGTGAGCTTAATAGGTACGTTTACCCTACTGATTTCTCGCTAGAAATAACATCAAAAGTGCAAAGAGTTAGTCAGAAATATACATTTACACACAAACTGACCATCAAACGCAACTTTCAGACGCCATCTTTATTTTTTAGCTCAACTGTCACGAAATGGAACGCACAGGATTGTGGGATATCAAAGGCAGCGAAGGATACATCTATGCTGCCTTCAAAATTCGATCAGAAGAAGGTACCTCCGGAGACAGTAAGTAAAGCAGAATTTGGATTCGGATGTGCCTTGATGCCTTTCTGCCTTGGAATGCTGCCTCCGAAGGCAGTATTTTCGAGCTTTCTGACGCAGCCCATGTTCAGGAAACAGTTGTGACTGGCTAGTTAGTTTCCACAACAATGGTGGTTTATCAGTGAGTTATGTCGATGTATGGGAAACGCACCCCTGATTAGGTTCACAAAGTAATTTACCATGGTCAGGGCAGGCGGCAAAAGATCACAAAACAAGGAAAACAGTCCAGAGTCAAAGAACAGGCAAGGCTAGGGAACCAGGAAAACACGGGAAACCAAGAATATGTTCAGAATGACACAAGACCAACCAATACTTCACTAAGTGTGTAAGTGGAGGTGTAACTTAAATAGTCCCACTGATGGGAAACATGTGCGTCTGTAATCAGTTGCTGGGCAGAGGGTTATGGGAAATGGAGTCCGGTAAGGAATAGTCCTAATGGTGATGGAGCCCTCAGACGGTGAGTGAGAGCAATGACAAAGACCGGATTTGTTACTGATAAAGTGCAAAATAATAAAATATAGTCTAATTAAGCCACAAGCAAAGTCACCTCTGAATCCTCTGCCTGTCCTGTTATGATCATGGAAGATGCCCCTGAGTTTCCTTACAGTTTTGATACACTCCTTGAGGCCAATGTTAACCTCTCTGTGATTTATGTCCCAGTTCTGTCAGATGCACCCTGGGGGTCTTTGTCTCCACTGTGGCTATCATCAGATCTGCCTTCTCCACTTCAGTGGTCCTCAGCTACACCTTGGTGGTCTTCAGCCCTGCCTGCTCCGCTGTGGTGGTCTGCAATGTTGTGGTGGTCTTCTGCTCCACTTTGCGGGTCTTCAGTCCCATCTGCTCAGCTGTGGTGGTCATCTGCTCCACCGTGGGGATCTTTGGTCCCATTTCCTCTGCTGTGGTGGTCTTCAGCTCTGCCCCAAAGCAGCACCAAAATGGGTGTTCATATTATTGTTACTCAGCCAGTGTTCGTGGGTCTGGTGGACCCGCTGCATTTTTGGGTTTTTAATTCAACACAATGAAAAAAATATATATGTTAAAATACTCAACAGATGTTTACTTAAAACAGCATATATGGTTGATATTTGCCCTTTACCTTTATTATATCATATTTATGAATTAAAGTGCTACAACCTTGTGCGGGAATGGCAGGGGCAGAAACACAAAACTCACACTTACACTCACACTCTTACAGACTCTCTCTCTCTCACATACACGCACATACACACACATAAACACACATTCACATACTAATAGCAGCCCCACACAGTAGGAGGACAGAGTGAAGGTACACAGGACCTAAAATTTCCACTCCTTTATTACCCCCGGGTCCAGTGGACCCCAACATCCTGTATGTAATATATGTGTGTAGGGGGGATGTACAGTGTGTGGTCATTGAAAATTTGTTCTGATATATGTTCTTCGCAGAAAATGAGCCAAGGCCAATGAGTCTGAGTTTGAAAAAAATTATTAATAGTATTATTTTTCTTTTGACAAAAAGTGAAAACGGGTCCCACAGACCCGAACACCATACAAGGGTTAATCAATAGGCATTTTCAAACTACAATGGGTGTTTTTTAGCTGCTCTACCTGAAGGTCCACCCCTAAACCAAACTGCCTGTGGATTAGAACAAATCAGGTAAAGCAGCTGAAAACAACCCACTGATTGAGTAACACCCACTAGCATTTTGCAGAGAAAAACTCCCATGATCTTATGATCATTGACAACAAATCAATGTTAGTTCAATATCCCTTTCTCCACCAGGGGCGGCGTTTCCGTATGGCAGAGTATGGCAGTCGCCATACCCTAGCCCAGTCAGGTGTGCCGTGGAAAATCCAAACCCTCTTTCGTAATTATTGTTTTAAATCACTGCTATTGGTTTGAGGGTTTTACAAATATTTAACCAATTAAAAGCATTCAAAAGAGCTTGTCACTAAACTTTGTAACGCTATGGATCCTCAAAACTGTCAGCGAAACCTCATAACTTCACCCCGCCTCAGTGCACAGCCTGGAGACAGATCTCGGCTTGTTCAAAATGCAAGGGTAAATAATAAATAACTGATATTTGAAAAAGTGCAGCGTTTTCTTTACTAAAACACTATGTCTGTAAAGGCTCATGTTTTTTGTGTGTTTGAAGAGCGGAGAAGAGTCTTAGCTTTTGCCGTCTAGTTGAAGCCTAACCAATAGGGTACAACGGGGCTAAAGGCGCCCTTTGATATTATTTTCATCTAAACCACTAGATGGCACAAAAACGTGGCGTAGCACTTTCCAGTATTAATCATATCATATAATAAAATATCATTTGTTATTACTACTGTAAATATATATTCAATTATTATTGGATCTCCTTCAATACTTTCAGAATATTTACTTATTAAAACGATTTTGTTTCTGTATTTTAAAATATATTTTTTTATATATCAAATGAAAGAGTTAAAGTAGGTAAGTTTCATTTTAATTTTTAATATTTAGATCTTCTGTTATGAATATTATTCCATATTTTAATTTGAATGTCGGATTGAAATAAACATCACCGTTAGCGTAGTTAGTTGTTAGCATAAGTGCGGCTGTTTCCCATACATTGATTAATTTGTGGCAGCCTGCCACAATATCCAAACTGACTGCCACAAATAGGATTTTTCAAAAGGCTTTGACTTCGTTGAATAAACATGAGCATTGCATGTTTCAAAATCGAAACCCGGTGTGGGTGTTTTTATATCACTGAAGGAATTATGTATTTCTGTATTTCTGAAGGAATCCGACTGTCTTCAGAAAATTTGGGATGTCATTTTAATTTCATCTTGCATGTAATGTCTGATAAAGCAGCGTTTGTGTGCTGAGCTTGTGTACAGTGGTTACTGGGAAAGCCTCGATCTCTCTACAAACAAGCGCCTCCTGCTGGCAGAGAATGAGTTTGCATATATGCCGCCACAAATAGAGTGCAAGTCTGTGGGAAACACTGATGAGCATTAGAATGAAGCTTCTTTATTAACTATTTAATGCTCCTATAACTTTTATTAGGGTAAAAAAAAAGGACATGATGGTATTTACTATTTTTACACACCAGGGACTTTTAAATGAATTGTGAATCTAAAATATGCGTGTTAGAGTATTGTTTATTGATAGGTCATGTTATCTAACACATGTAATCTTATTGTAAAGTGTTTTTAATACTACAGTTTCCATCTATTTGATATAGACTTGACTTAAAATAGATGTATCTTATCTAAATTTATTATAAAAGCAGAGGTTTGTTATTTACTGAAAAGTTGTATTTTAGCTGGTGTCAATGTTCTAATGTTGCATTTGGTCAGAGTCAGCCCATTGCTTTACTTAAGTTTATTATATTTTCCTTTTACAGCTGCAGGCTGAGGAAGATCATGAAACACACCAGCAAATCCTAAAACAGACAACAGTTTACAGTTGTTTTTCGGCGGCAGCAGAAATATTACAAAAACTTTTGGGTGAAACTTGTTTACTTTTTTTCATACTTTTATTACTTGCAGAAAAACTTGAAACACAATTTTAAATAAGTACAAAGAATGTCATTGATTTTTGTACATTTTATTTTTCCCGCCGCTGCTGAGGCACGGAGGAGAATGAGCTTGTGGAGATCGCAGGGGTATCTGGCCGATGAGTTTGAAGAGGGGTTTCCCTCTTGCGATCGTCGGCTGTGGACGAGAGTGAGCCGCTGGAGGATGATGTTATTTCATTAACATCGTCTGATCCAGGGGCAAGTGCTCTGCTGGGTTCGGCCCAGCAAAAGCAGAAAATGTCTGAGGAGGGCAAAGAAGCTGAGGCTGAGCCTTCCCAATCCTCCTGCCCTGCGTATTATGAGCTTTTGAAAGTTATGGATCGCACCACGGCGAGGCTTTACTCGAGGCGATGCGCGAAAGTGGTTATGAGAAGATGCCCCTATAGACCTGCTGATAGACCTGGATAAAGGCGAGGGCCTTTCTCCTGATGAGGTAGCCGCACCACGGATCTCGCTCTCTGTGCTACTGAGCAGGCCGCCTCTGCTAGCGGCAGGTCCATGGTGGCTATGGCAGTGACGGAGTGACATCTGTGGGTGAACCTAGCAGATATCGGGAAAAAAGGGGTCCTGGCCCGTCTCGGTTTGAGGACCAGAGACGGGCACAGAAGGCTAGTGTTGTGGCTCACGCTCCTCCCCCGCCCGCAGGTAGGGGTAGGAAGAATCACGGGTCAAAGGAAGGTAGGTAAAAGACCTAAGGGATGTGATCCAGACAGGGCGTCAGCGCTTTTGTCCGGATCAGAGTGATACCTCAGTATCTACTCATTTCCTTCGGGGGTCTTACATCTGCCCTTATCTTCCCCTTCCTAATTCCCCCCCCTTCATACTTCCTGGATCATGCGGCCAGGTCACAGGCTTCTGCGGGAGCCTTCTTGATCATTAGGCCCCCGGCACGGCACTGCAAAAATTTCCTGAATGTCTGGGCTGGGCTTATGCTTTCAGGCTGCCCTGTCTGGTCTACCGTATCTAGGTCGCCCTGAGGGGCCTCCCGATCACCAGGATATGACCCTCTTGCTGAGGCATCGAGCGGGAAGTATAGGTGGCATTTGCAAGAACCTTCTTGTGTAATGCTGTCTCAGGCAGTGCTCGTCTCACCTTAGACTCTCCCATTTGGCTCAGTACTTCCGGTTATCTGTGAGCAGATGCTTGGAAAACTCTTAAATCCATACTATGGTAAGTGCACACGTTAAGCTTTGCGCACTTTCTAAAAATCCACATAAGTGGTAAGTGTGCACGTTATGCTTTGCCTATTTATACTATAGTCGCACCGGTAGTGATGTCATGGCTGTCGCTGGCCAACGTGTTGTTGGTGTTTTTTCAATGTATGCTTCAGACACGGGTCACGACAAGGCGTTCCCCATAGCGACCCCTAGAGGACGCAGTGTCTCGTTCCCTACTCAGGGAACCATGGTTACATACGTAACCTGAGACGATTTTCACTGGTATTGGTACCGAATACTGAAATTTTGGTACCGTGACAACACTAGTTCAATATAACGTATATAATTTTTCTGCAATTATACATTTTAGGCGCAGTGAATGGCACATTTTTTCTTTAGGGTAGGGCCTTTAGCCCCATTGTACCCTATACTTTTTTACGTTTTAAATATCCTGTGCATATAGCGCTTCATCATCTATATCATGAGATTTTGGCCAAGTGTATTAAACGACAAGAAAAACTAAGTGCCCATATAGCTACAATAAAAGTTATAACCTGAAAGTTGATGAAAGCGTATAATGCGATGCACTTGCTGCCTCAGATGCGGCCCGCCCCCCTTGAAGGTCAAGTTAATTTTATTTTCTCCATAGCGCCAGATCACACCAGAAGTAATTTAAAGTTACCTTTCATATAGAACAGGTCTGTACCTTGTTCTTTTATTAAACCAACTAAATAGCCTTATGCTATTTATCTTATTTACACGACGGCATGTCAATTCTGTCTCTATGTTACATGGTCGACCTCTCTCATGAATTCTGCGTGTCTATGTGTTAATGAATGGAGCAGACGAGCGGTTTTGTTTACTACTCGTACTGAAGCGCGCATGACGCTTCCGGTGATATTAAAGGTCACATATTTTAAACCTTTCTGGAGTTTTATTTTTAAGTCTTGATGTCCTTAAGAATATATATTTGCGGTGTAAGTACCAAAAACCATCTCAATATATTTTTACAGCTCCTCTCTCAGGAGCTCTGGAAAGAACAGGTCTATTTTGGCCTGTCTAATTAATATTCATGAGCCTCTCTTCTGATTGGCCTGTTGTTTTCTGAGAGATGCATGGCCAGGCCAACCACAGGTAACTAGGGTCAGCCGACGTCACAGCGCTAGCTGGAGGCAGCAAAACAAAGGGGAAACTGGAGGCGGCCCATTCAAACCAGCGCAG